TATACTAAGCATTTATCTCGCCCTAATAACTTCGAAAATATTAGCTACTTTAAATAGCTAATTCGGTTCGATACTATTAATAATTAATATTTTAGAAGTCGGGCTAAGAAGAGGGTATTAAATTACTATCCTATTTATAAAGTCGAAAACCATAATTAGAATAAAAATTAGTATAGGGTTAAATTAATATTATATTATTTCTATTATACTTAAATTAAATTATTTAGTATTATAAACCAGGATAGTATTTAGTAAGAGTTAGAGACTTATTCTAATGTATATTTAATTTATATAGAAGTTTATAACGGGGATTTAGACTACCTTTACAATTATTACAGTAATATACTTAATAGCGAATCCGATAATAATTTTGAACCTCCTCCTAAAGAAGAAAGGTAAAGAGAGTTATAGTAAATCTTAGTTAGAGATCTTCTCTATTATTTATAAATTGAAGACGACGGGGATTTCAGTATGCTCGGTTACTATAATTAAAACGTTTTATATAATTAGTATTAATATTTAGACTATTAAAATTTACTAGAATTGCAATAGGATTATTAGAAGAATATAAGAATTAATAACCTATAGCTAATAACCAATATTCCCGCTCTTATATTGTAGGTTATTAAGGATTTCAATACAGAATAAAAGGTTGATTTTAATCAGTTTGTTTATTATTATTAGTTTATTCTTAATTGTAACAATAATATTCAATAGTATTTATATATCCTACCTTTACTTTTACAAATTAATAGCTGCGGAGGTATTAGAAAGTCTTTTTTTATTAAGGCGTTATTATTCAAATTTGAATAAGTAACTGCAATATATAATAAAACCTTACTAATTATTAAATATACTCCAACTAGGGTAGTAGCTAATAGTATTAATAGCTAAACCTTATATTCTTTATTTAAATTCCCTATTACTCCTAAGAATGTTAATTAAAACGAACTTAAAGTAACTATTATAGTATTAGAAGGTATTAATCTAGCCTAACTTTAATACTAACTATAGCCCTATCGTTATTTTATTATTAATAAAAAGTCTACATTGGGACTTCGAATTCTCAATTTCGTTAATTAAAAACTATACTAAGCCTTCCCTAAATACTAGAATAAATTATTTAATAGTAGGAGTATTCTTCTATTTAATAAGTTTGATTAATTACTTCTAGTTAAATAGAAACTATTATTTTATAATTACTAAATTTTATTTACTATTAAAACTATCGGTTATATATATTATTATACTTTTAATAAGACTATTAAATTATAGTAAACTATATAACAATAAGGTAATAATTAAATTGGATTTAAGGCAGCGTTCGAAGTATTACAAAGTAACTAGCCTATTCAATAATACTAAGAATTGCTTTATTTTCAGATATAATTAAAGCTACTATTAAATAAATAAACTAAATTTATGAATACTCTACATATTTATCCTAACTATAAAAATGTTATATTTTTTAAATTTAGTATATAAAAGTATCAAATTAGCCCTATTTTACTCTCCCTATTAAATATGCCGGCTTTAGTACTAAAGACGTAGATCCTACTAATATCAATAATTTATAGTTTAAACTCCCATTAATAATAGAAAGTAGGGTTATATTAACCAAGAACCTTTAGATTGAAGTTAATTTAATTAATAGTACTTTAAATATTATTTTCGATATTATATAGAATTCTAACCTTCCTAATCAAAACATTATCAACGAATGATACCCTTATAGTAACCTATTTATCATACTTATTGAATTTAACCAGTATATTGGACCTCCTTACTTCCTTAACTAAGAAGACGAAAATTGTTTCTATAATATTATTTCTATCTTTTAAATTAAGCGAGCGTTTAGGTATTATGGAAAGACTTAGTCTATAAGATTATAATTTCCTTTAATTATTATATATACTATTATAGTATATAAGGTATAAGGTTCTACTCTCGATATAATTATATTAGATATTTCGAAAAGGGACTTTTGAATTAAGCTTATATATATAGTATATAATAGAATTGAAACTTTATAAAGCCTTATATTCAATACTCCCTTTGATTTAAACGATATACATATTATATTTAACTATATATCTACTATAAAAGTAGTTAATAAAGTAAGAAAATTACTAAAGAAACTTCTAGTCCCGGATATTTAAATACTAAAACTCCGGGTACCCAGTATTACTACTTCCGGTCCAATACTAACTTATAAATATTATTTAGGTAGTATATATTCTATCTTGTAAATATATATATAATTATAATCAACTTTCTAAAGCGTACCTTCCTTTGTATTTGATAGCATTTGTATTGCTCCTTCCATTTTATTTCTTATATTATTAGGTAATATCTCTCCATCTCCCTCTCCTTCTTTCCTTCTTGCATTTAATTCTTTTATTACTTTTATTAACTATTAACTATTAATTATCAACTATATCAATTATTTTTGAAGAAAGTCATTTATAGTTCGAATAGTATTTTAACAATATATTAAAAGAAGAAGAAGAATACTGTAATTTGTTTACTATCAAGTACTAATAGACTTCTATTAGTTAAATTAGTACTAAAACAGTATAGTTTATTAAAGATGAATTTCTTTATAAGAATAAAATTACGGCTACTCCTAGCCTTTCTCTCCCTATCCATTTAAAGTAATATATTACTTTTATTATTGATTATAATTCAGATTATTTTAATTTTGGATTTAGGTACCTAGATTTTACTACCGGCTTGAAAAAAAAAAAAAAAGAGGTAAAGAGTTTAATTCAATTTATTCTACGTACCCTAATTGAATACCTTATAGTATACCCTTTTTTAGAGTAACTATTAATAGTACCGAAAAATAGTACATTTTACAGCGGTTTTACATCTCCTATTCTCCCTAAAAGGCTTATACTCCCGATTAATACTTATAATAAATAAATTAGAAAATAAGAAATATTTAAGAGATAACAGTAGTATATATTTAAATATTTAAATAAAAAATTAATTACTAATAAGGAATTAAACGTAAGAACTCTCTAGAATTTATACTAGTAGCAGCTACGGGCGTTCTATACAAACTACTATACTATGGGCATCCCTATAGCACCCCAGGGGGGGTTAATAATAGTAAATATTGTTAGGATAGACTATATATAGTGATTGGAGCATTTTGGGCATGTTTGCAAAGTGTAGCTGAGTTTATAGATGTGATAATAGAAATCCTACAATAAGAGTTAGATCTAGTAATACTTTGGCTGGTATTATACCCTTAAGTTAGGATTGGGTACTAAGAACCTTTCCGTACTTCCCGGCTTAGTATTTCTTAGCAGGTAGATCCAAAGCACGCTTCAATATATACCGGGCATTGCTTGAACAGGATCCAGCATCGCACCGGTATCTGAAAACTATTTTATATCTGACACTTTGGTCAATGTTGCCGACGGCTTGCTATTATTGCAATCAGGGATTAGTTCCACCAAGTGGCGAGTGCGTGATCGCGACTTCACATCTTCAGGGTCGTTTGTTATTGTCGTTTCTCGTTGTTAATTACGTGCACCGCACATAATATATCACCAAAGGGCTCTAGGCTAAGAAGAAGGGGTAGCTGGCAAATAAGGGTATGCGGCTCAATCTTTACTATACAGCATAGTAAAGCGTAGAGCTCAGTACGTTCACTTTAGATATGCCTAGATCATGCTTGTGATTCAAACAATCTCAAAGACCCAACACACCAACGTCATGACACACTCCAATTGTGGGTTCAAGTGTGATGAATTTGCTACACAAATCTTGGCCAGCGCTCTTTGAAGAATGCGATGAACGGGAATGATGTATGGCATTGTAATAGAGCATCTGGCAAAAAGCAAAAAAGAAAAACAAACAAACACTGTGGTGTCCAGAAAAGCTGTCGAGGAGGTTTGAGTTGGAGAGATAGAAAAAAACCAAAATAGAGTTTATCATGCGCCAGCCGCGAATCGAACGCGGGGCCCATCGATGGCAACGATGGATTTTACCACTAAACCACTGGCGCGATTTGACGTTTGTTGACGATTTGGGTAAGAATTAGACTTTGAGTACCCACGTGGTAAGCAGGGATCATTTGCCTTCATGAGACTAGACTAGTAGACCATGACGACCGCACTGTCCATTGTTCCTTCATAACGTATCCTTTGGATGTCTGAAATTGGAGAAAATAACATGAAGCTCGGAATATCTGAAAGAGAGGGCAGATTGTTTTCCTGAACTTAGGACAACCGGTGCGTTGGATGTTGTGATTCCATCGTGCGAAAACTCCGAATGTGAGCCAGTGTAAGTGGTAGGCGTACCTCTACGGTCATGTGCGCTTGTTATCGTGTAAAGATTACGCAATGATTCACCAACAACTTGAGGAGGTATTTCTCTCCTTGATCCACATGCATCGTGCCTGTAAACATCAAAAGCGTAGTCAGTCAATTTTTAGGCCCCAGGGGGCCTTACATAGTATCAGTTGTCACTCGGGCTCTATCTCCTTCATCTTCGGAGCTGACATCCAGGAAGCGGGCAGTATCATCACACCCGGCGGCCCGTGAGCACCTATATATCAGCCTGGTCTTTTATTCTCAAGCTTCATAGCTACACTTTTACCTCACGACCAGCTACCTCTGAGTTGCAGTCCAAAAACCAAATCTACAACCTCGATACTCAAACAGTGATATAACTATATCAACAAGACGACTCCAGTCGTGACACCAACCATCACCAACCGAAAATGTCCGCCCTCACTGGCGCCCAGCTGGGCCTAATGACAGGCTCCTTCCTCTCCGGCAAGTCCACCAGCACTTCACTCCTCCTCCTCTTCCCTCCCCATTTCACCACCGTGACCTCTCTCACCAATCCAACTAACACACCCAAAAGGCTGCCTCCTCTCCATCCCCCTCCTCACCATCCCCACCATCATCTCCCCTTCCTCCTCCCCCACCGCCCCGATCCTCCTCTCCTCCTGGTCCACCCTCTACCATCACGGCGCCCTCACCATGCCTCCCCTGGCCTTCTTAACCGCCTCTCTCTACGGATTATCAGCTTATAAACTCTGCTCCTCCTCTTCCTCTTCCTCTTCTTCCTCTCGGACTCGGAAGCAGACTCAGACTCAACAGCGCAAGAATGAAAAACGCTCCAAGTTATTCGCCATTGCAGCCATTGCGACGCTCGCCATCGGCCCCTTGACGCTGCTCGTCATGTCCCCTACCAACAAGGAGTTGATGAGGCTCAATGAGATCCAGATTGAACCCGGTCCGTTGGTGAGTGATGTGGAAGAGGTGAGGGAGTTGGTGAGGAAGTGGAATTGGTTGCATGTTGTGCGGAGCTTGGGGCCGGTGGTGGGGTGTGTGGTTGGGTGGTTTGGGGTTTTTGGGTATGGAGACGAGGAGAAGGGTGAGGAGAAGGTTGAAGGTGAGAAGCAGTGAAGACGGGATGGATTTGTGGTAACGAGGGATGGATGCTATTGGCACTGATCTTGATTTCCACTTGGGTTGTCCGAAAATATGAGAAAAGAATGAATGGGTGAGAGTCCTGAAAGTAAACGAAACCTCCTCAAGGAGGCAGGCAAGATAAGAAACCAGTGAGCTGCTGTGATAGTTTCAATTTCAGCTGCCTGCTTTTGAATTGATCAAGATCGAAAATGGAAACGTCGACAAACAGTCAGAAGTGGTGCTTTGGACAAATGAACTATGTACATAGACCAAGAACGCCGTCCCGGCAAGGGTAATGTGGTGTGGAGAGTACTCCCAGACGCCAGAACTTGTCGGCACCCCAGATGTGATCAACTAATAAAACAAACGAAAAGAAAAGTGGTATATAACTGTTAATGTCCCGAGACTTGGCATAAGTCTCTTTCGAATCCCAACCAATTATCCAAGCCCAGCTCTTTACGTCAACCAAAAAGCTCTAGTCATAACATGAGTTTTCAATCGCCGAAACCCCTGACCGCCGAAGCTATCCTTCTTTTTTATAACAAACAATTTTTTGAAACGATAGGTGCTCGCTGCGGTTTCCTCACAAATCACAAGAGTCTCTACCTCATGGGAATATCACCGTTGATGGTAGCAACCTGGGGAAGAGGTTGGTCAATCAAAGGTCGAATCTCCTGCTCTGTGCCGTTCGCAGGGGTCATTTGGTTCATCTTCTTGTTCCTCCAGTCTTCCGCGTGATCGGTCGCGGTACGAATGATCTCCATGATCTGTGAGAAAATGTGCAATCCCTCTTTGCTAAAAGAGAGAGCCACCTTGGCAGCCTTGCGTACAAGTGCATTCGGGTCTTGCGTGTTTGGTTGCTCGCTCGAGGTAGTGGTTTTGCTAGCCTGACTCCAGACCATGGGAAGGCTGAGCAGATGATGCCGAACAAGGTTGCCGGCATTTTCGGGCAAAGCAGCGCCAGTGTAATTGGCAACAACCGAAGAGACGTCCTTGATGTTGGAGTAAATGCTCTTCCGAAGTTCAGTCATACGCTCCACCAGCCGCGTACGATCTTCTTCCGGCGCGGACCCGTTGGTCATGACGTGGTCTTCACGATCCCTCCTGGTTGTCGACCTGTCATACTGATCAAGTACTGAGCTCAGCTCGTTGGTGCCCTGCTGGAGCGTGTTGGTCACATCCCTCAACGTCTCAAGCACATACTTGAGCGAACGTAAACTTTCTTCCTTCATGGTCTCCTTGAGACTGGACGTGGTCACCTGGACCCGTCCGTTCCCCAGCTGCGCATGGAGAGCCGACTTTGGATCGACTGCTTGGCCATTTTGTTCAACCGTCTCAGAGTAAGCTGGCGATCGCTGGTCGTCATAGGCGGGCAACGTCTCAATGGTGCTGACCGAGGTCCGGCGGGATGCATCAGCAGTGGGAGCTTCTGAGAACCGTGCCTCGCCCCCTGTACCGTTTACTGGTCTCGAAGTCATATGTCGCTTGTTCTGGCCACTCTCACGAGTATCACTGGAACTTTTGGTCCGCTTTCCAAGAATCCATCTGACACCGGACTCGATCCCGGTTCTGCGACCGACATTGTTCACCGTGTCCGCGACAGGTATTAGCGAGCCCTCGACGTATTCGAGGCCTGATCTGATGCGGGGAGAGAAGTTCTTAGTCTTTGTATAGAGGTGAGAAGATCGCTGTACCGTGCTTTCGATAATGGGATGGGCTGTAGTTATTAGCGACAAGAGAGGCTCGGGTTCTTGGTTCTGGTCCGTCATCCTACGACGCAGTGGCGCATTACGGTTGGGAGGGGAAGAAACTGAATCTGGGGACCCATTATTAGCAGCTGATAGAATGCAACGTGTGCTTGCGAGAACATACCGGTTTTCAATTCGTTCAGGGCGGAGATCGCCATCATGACCTGCGGATCATCCAGGCTGACACTGGTCGATCTTCGATCATGACGCTGCTGGGGAGATGCGCCACGTCCATCGTTGTCACTCTCAGCATAGTAGGCTGACAATGGGTTGGAGTTGGGCCAGACGAACTGTGGAGGAGGTTGTGGTGTTGGCGTTGGCTGCAAAGTTGGCAGCGAGCTTCCGACATTAAGCGAGGCTATCGAAGGGAGAGAATGATCCGAGCTGCTCCTTTTGCGGTCCAGCTGAATAGGGGGAAGTTCGGTCGTAGGGCTGCCATCGAAGAGCGATAATGGTGCCGGCTCACGGGTCTGGAAACGGTTTGACGATGGCGAGCGTGATCGTGGCTTGTTGGGCTGTAGTCCGTTTGAGGGAGGATGCAGAACAAGCGGCGGCAGCGAGGATAAGGAAGAAGCTGAAGCCTGCATTGTGGACGACGAAGATGCACTCAGTGCGGGCGAGTGCATCGAGTCCCAAATAGGGGGCAGCGTCGGGTATGCAGGCAGGACGGACAGGACAGGAGCCGAGGTGTTGTCGGCTTGCTCCTGTTTGGGGACCGGCACAGGATGCTGCTGTTGCTGTTGCTGGTGGTGTTGGTGTTGTTGTTGATGTTGATGTGCTTCATAATGCTGGTGGTGTTGCGGTGGTTGCTGATACTGCTGATGCTGCTGGTGCTCGTACTGCTGCGACGACGGCGAGTGCATGTGACGATGATGATGATGATGTTCCATGCTACCTGGCTCGGATGGTGCCGTCACCAGGACGATTTCCAACGTTGAGATTCGCTGTTGCCGGCTACCGAGTTTCCACTTTTTCGTATCCGCACCCTCGTCGCTAACTTGATTTCGTACTTGTGGACAATGCGCTGGCTGTGAAAGCCAATTCCAGCGGAGTCGCGACTCAGTCGTGCAGGGTCGAAGTGGAATCGGTCGAGGCAATCGCTGCTGTGCTTTCTAACATGTGCCGCCCAACAAGAGACGTGCTGCCAACGGGCCTTATGTACGGATGTTGTCTGATGTGTCCAAGCGTCGGAGCTTCTGAACGGAGCCGCCGTGCGGTAGATGCGGTTTAATTGAAACTGGATGGGCCCAAAAGGTTCGGTTTTTTTTTTTTCGAGGTGGCAAAAGTGGAAGCGCGGCGGCGGATGGAGTTGCCGATGCAGAGAAAGAGAGAAAAAAAAAAGTATGGATGTTGTGTTGGGAAGCGCAGACTTCAAGACCGGAAAAAGAATTGGATCGTGGGTAATTGTCAATGCTTGCTTGAGACAAGGACCCTATTTCAATCACTATCGCTGTTGAAGGGAATGTCGCCTAAACGTTAGGTATGCGGAGTAGCAAGGAAGAAACAGAAACTCCCAAGAAAACAACAAGATCCAAGTTCGGTGAGGGTTAAGTTGGTTGTTGGTAAAAATGGCGTGGTGGTGGTGTCGAACATTAAAAAGTGGTTGGAAGAAAAGCCAATGGATCGATGGAAACATGCCCCGGAAACATGAAGGAAGGATTCGACGAGACGGGAGAGGACCTAAACACTCACCAAAAAAAAGGGCGGACCACCTCACATGCTCTGGCAGTCACGCTCGGTGACATTTTGTGCCCTGTACCTACTTAGTGGAAGACGGTGGGATGACAGGACGGTTTGTAGCGCCCGTCTTGGCCTGGAGTCAATGTTGGATAAGTGTACTTCAAGTTACACCACTATGCAGGAGACTGAACTGTGCGAATTGTCTCAACTTCTCTTCCGTGTGAGCTTCAAAGATATCAGATATCAGTGAGAGAGAGGGCGACATCTGATAGTGTATTGATGCTCGTGCATAGACTTTGCACCGTGGGGGGCCAAATTGGAAAAACGGAGATGGAAGAAGCTCATCAAAGCGGAAAAGCACGTGGGAATCACAAGCCCCATTTCCTTCCATACTTGTAGTGCTCCCTACCTACTTCTGGACCTTTTCACCCTTTCTCGTACATGAATGAGCCCATCGATTGACTCCGTAATTATCGTTCGAGCTTGTTATTCCTTTCAGTGCATGTCGTGCGTGACTGACTATGCGAGACCAATCCGACTACCTATGTAAGAAGGGCCTACCGAGTTTTCGGAAATGGTTTAATTGGGATCCGTTCCCAAGAATTATTGGATACATGACGTGAATCTGTAGGTGGGTTCCTCCCAACAAACATTCCATGGTGTTGTTTCTTGGTCTTCTTAGTGCCAAAGGGCAACGCCACGTCGAAGTCAGGCGGCCACAAAATGCAGCTATCTCCGAGGCTGGAATTAATCATTGCTTCCACTCTTGTGCTCGATTGTCTAGACACAAACCGGACGTCCAACGAAGCTGTGGTTTGTTTTGTTCTCCTCCCCAAAAGCTGTCGGGCAATCCGCATTGGGGGTAGCTGCCGTGGCTTTTAGCTGTTTTCACATCCAATCCCCATCTTGCTAGGTAGCCTTGCTGGCCAGTCCAACACTCTAGGAACGAGACCCTTAATCACCCTTCACAATCGGTATCAGACATGATTGACACCATCGCGGACCCGTTGCAACTGTGCACGTTGACGTGCCCTGATGCTCTGCATTAGCTGCTGCTACGTATACCGCCCATGTAGGTGCTGTGTACGCTGTATGTACCCCATACGCCGAGCTGCAACTCTGCGCTGGGTTCAATGGGTGCTGCTGGGCTGGGGTAAAGGCGCAAAGAAGGCCATTCATTGTGAGGTTTGTTGCTATCGCGAATCCCTCGTCCTCTTCAAACGTTCCCTTTGGCACTGTTGTCCCTCCCTTGGCCGTCAATCCTACCACCCTACCATGAATATTGGCTACCAACAATCGATCGCCGTGGAGTCCAAGTACCACTGACAGTGTGAGGCTCTCTGTTTTTGGAACCACATATCACGAAAACGGGACGGGCGAAACGGGAGTGGGAGAAAGAGACGGCACACAAACATGGCCTTGGAGAGCATGTGAATTGATGATGACGAGCCTCGACGGCACGATCGGCATCATCTCACCAACTGCATCCCAACAATTCCAGCAACATGGATATAGTGATATCAGACATCTGCCAGCTGCAACGGTATCTGTCTGTGCTTGCCGATCGCCAACAGCGATGTTGATGATGTATACAACTGAACAACTACTGTCAATCACGAGACGTACTGGCTCATCACGACTTATATAGCGGGTTTACACCTCCAAGTCTCGTACCGTCTTACCGCCCGTACTTTTGACCAAATCTTATTTCCAAGACAGCAACTTTTGGCGACTTGGGGCAAAACCGCCCATCGTATCCAGCATGTGTTAGGTAAAATAAACGGACCTAAGCCACCAAAACGGAAGAGAGACTAGTCTAGTTTGCAAACCCTTTGTCGCAGTCCCAGGGATAGCCTGTCGATCCACCATCACATGCAAGGCGAAAGACTGTCGGTTCTCCCACGGCCACTTTCTGTTTCCCTGCACCATATCGAAGCTCCTACGTACCCCAATCCCTCCCCACGACTCACACTGATGAGACTAATGTCCACACCAGCAGGCAGCCTTTTAGGCTTTTCCGGACACGGCCAGCATCGCTAGTGGCGGGTTGTTGGATAAATCCGCATTCCGGAACGTCGTGATTGTAGGCGTTCCTGACATTCAAACCAGGTCTTTCATGTGTCTACTCCCATTTGATTTTCCTATGTTGCGGATGTTGTCTTGCTCTCCCCGAAAATAAGGGTCCAGGGGTCCAGCCGCACTAAGCAAGCGAGGAACAAGAGGGAGAAAAAATAAGAAAAAAAATAAGGGGGAAAAGACGTTGACTCAGTGAAGCTGCCGAGATGGGACGTCTCGTCCAGAGACAGATGTCAGTCTAGCTGCCTGGTATGGCTGGCACGGCTGGTCGACTGGCTCACCGGCGAGAATCGAAAAGACCACCACTACCAGCGCCACGGGATGGGGAGCACCATGAGCACTAGCTGATCATCACGTGCGGATTTTGGCGTTTCTTGGGAGCTGAGCCGGTGAAACGCTCCTGACTGCGGCACTGACTACGGCATTGACTTTCGGCAGTGTGTGTGTGGTGATATCGATCACTAATCAACCGGAGAGTGAGAGCATGCCGAGTGCAACGGGCCGACTGAACAGGTCCGCTTCCAAGTTTTGGTCCGTCACCCGTCCCCTCCGGCCAAGGAACGAAGGAATGGCTGCTCCGATCCCAAGCACGAGATTTACCGGCCGGCCGGCGTGGACAGACCGCAACACGGGCGGGTGGGTGGGTGTCCGGCGACGTAAAACGATGATAAAATATGGCGCTTTGCGCACAACACAACGATCAACGTCAAGACACACAAAAAGGTTCAAAACACCAAAAAAACAACTTCTACGATGATGGAATGTGTGGAACCTCTGACGCCGCCCTAGTAATTTTGGTCATCTTCCCAAAAGGAAGACAACATACATGGGCAGCTCTTATGGAGCCATTTGAAGAAATCAATCCCCTTCTTCTCCGCGTCGCGAAATCGCAGAATCACCATAGGACACGGTTCGAACCCCGACAGAATGCCGGAGCCGATGTGCATTTGCGATGTTCGGCACTGTCTGAGGACGCGTTGAAGAAAAAAAGAGGAGAAAAAGGTGCAAGAGTGAAAACGACGGAAGGGTCTCTCTAAAATACTTGCGACGGGAGGAACGGAGGAATTTTGGGTGGATCTGCCAGAGAAGCACAGACCTTTTTTTTTTTTTCTCCAAAGACGGACAAAAGTTCAGCTGGGGCCGATGGGAAAGAGACTCGAAAATCTGCCCCACTTCCTTCCATCGGAACACTTTGTTGGGTCTTGCGCCGACGACGACGACCTGAAGAGCTCGAGCAGCTGGGCTGGAGATCAATTAACCCCGATTCTCTGATGATGCTCCCGTCACGGAAATAGTGGAATGGCAGCATGGAATGGAAACTGTTCAACTTCGACCCTGCCAAGACATGCCAAGCCTTTCTCTTTTGGATGTGGATGTGACAGAGAGCCTGGCAAGTCTATGGGAGCCAGCTGACCGACAGCTGAAGCTGAAGAAGCTTCCACCTCAAGACTTGTCACAAAGGGGAACCTCGCTGACCACGAGTGCTTGGCATCAGATTGCTGCTTGGTGCTGTGAGCTCTGGTCTGGGCTGGCATTGCTGGCTGCCAGGGTGTTCTTGGCCTGTGCTTTTCGAGATCTGGATGCACCATCGCTTGTCACCACTTGTCGCGATCTATTGATAGCGGCAACTGCACACTCGTCCTCAGTTGTAGGATATCGTGGCTCGCCCGCGCTACACCTTTGATAAACAACAACGACTGTGATACTTTGTTTGCAGTTTTTGACCCTCAGCTCCTCGACGGGATTTCAACCATCTACGGCGCATGTTATAGCCCATTGACGAACCGAGTTCGAACTCACTTTTGGCGCTCGCGCCTACTCGATACCCCCCCTAATCGTAGCTTGCGCCTTGTATTACCAGTGCCCCTCCTCCGTTTCCGTCAACACCTTCTCCTCGACCACGACGCCGACGACCACAACAACAACAACTCTCTACACTCAATCTTCCCGGACAACAGACACGACTGCCCACCATGGCGTCTGCCATTTTCTTCCTAGATCTCAAGGGCAAGGTGGGAAAATGCTCATCTGGTGGTGTCGCGAAATCCACAGCAAAGCATCCAAAGCTGACCGCCCAATGCGCCCTCACTTAGACCCTCCTTGCCCGTAACTACCGCGGTGATATTCCCATGTCAGCCGTCGAAAAGTTCCCTATTCTATTAAGCGAAGCCGAAGAAGAGTCGTCCGCCGTACCACCATGCTTTTCCCACGAGGGTATCAACGTATGTTATCTACAAGCCCGTCGTTGTCGTCGTCCACCCTGCTGCTGCTGCTGCTGCTGCGAAAACCTCTTGGGCCACAGAATTGCTGAACACTTTCTTCGGTCATTACATATATATAGTACCTCTACATCCGCCATAATAACCTGTACCTTCTCGCCCTCACAAAACGCAACACCAACGCCGCCGAGATCCTGCTCTTCCTGCACAAGATTGTCGAGGTCTTCACCGAGTACTTCAAAGCGTTGGAAGAAGAATCGATCCGGGACAACTTTGTCATCATCTACGAGCTCCTGGACGAGATGATGGATTTCGGCTACCCGCAAACGACCGAGTCCAAGATCCTGCAGGAGTACATCACCCAAGAGTCGCACAAGCTCGAAATCCAAGCGCGCCCGCCCATCGCCGTCACCAACGCCGTCTCATGGCGATCCGAAGGCATCCGCTACCGCAAGAACGAAGTGTTCCTCGACGTGATCGAATCCCTCAACCTGCTGGTCTCGGCCAACGGCAACGTCTTGCGCTCCGAAATCCTCGGCGCCATCAAAATGAAGTGCTACCTCTCAGGCATGCCCGAGCTGCGCCTGGGGCTAAACGACAAAGTCATGTTCGAGACCACGGGGCGCACCACGCGGGGAAAGGCCATTGAGATGGAAGACGTCAAGTTCCACCAGTGCGTGCGCCTGTCGCGCTTCGAAAACGACCGCACCATCTCCTTCATCCCGCCCGACGGCGAGTTCGAGCTCATGTCCTACCGCTTGAACACCCAAGTCAAACCCTTGATCTGGGTCGAGTGCGTGGTCGAGTCCCACTCCGGTTCGCGAATCGAGTACATGCTCAAAGCGCGCGCGCAGTTCAAGCGCCGCTCGACGGCCAACAACGTGGAGATCATTGTGCCGGTGCCCGACGACGCCGACACGCCGCGGTTCCGGACGAACGTGGGCAGCGTGCACTACGCGCCCGAGAAGAGCGCCATCGTGTGGAAGATCAAGCAGTTTGGCGGCGGCAAGGAGTTTTTGATGCGCGCGGAGCTGGGTCTCCCCAGTGTGAGGGGCGATGATGAGCACGGCGGTGGCATGACGGGTGGGTTTGGTGGCAGTATGGGTGGTGTCGGCGCCCCCGGGAAGGGAGCCAAGAGGCCGATTCAGGTCAAGTTCGAGATTCCATATTTTACCACGAGCGGGATTCAGGTGCGGTATTTGAAGATTACGGAGCCAAAGGTAAGACTTTTTTCTTTACCCTTGTTTCTTCTAGCACCTGTGGCTGCTAGTTACTGACGATTTGAAACAGCTACAATACCCCTCCTTGCCTTGGGTCAGGTACATTACGCAGTCAGGAGATATCGCCGTCAGATTGCCTGACGCGGTATGAACGACGAGGACTTGGATACGGGCAAGAAGAAGCCTTTTTTTTTCAGAACAAACAACAGATGGTGGAACAGAAGACCTACAATTACCTACCCAGCTAGGGCATGAAGGGAGCGGCCACAGGACAGGTATGAATTCTGGCTGCCTCATTGAACACATCGGCTGTCCTCAGTTCCTACCCCCCAGGTCGACGAGATATACCCTGCCCAGGACGACATCCCAGGTCGTGGCTCAATGTACAGATGGGGTAAAACGAGAGGAGAGACTTATGGCGTATGTATAGTAATGATGGCCCTGACACGACATGGATGGACGAAGTAGAAGGGAGAAGCGGTTGGTTTATAGGTAGATGATACGTAGGTGTCACACACCGCAACATGACGTCCATGTCAAACAATATTCGATATAATATTTCTGCATGAACACATTCCTGTCAAGTGGTGGTCGAAGAAGTTGAAAAAGTTGGACACGCGTGAATCAGATCAGTGCGCTTGGGTCGTCATCCTCGAGTGAAAGAAATGATGTATGGGTGGTCATTCGTATTCCTATAGCCGTCTCCTCCTTTACTGTGAACGAACTGAAAAGCGAGAAACAAACTATATTCCAGACCCCACGTGTACAGGAGACCGGCAACGTTAAAGAAAGAAAGGATGCAAAAAAATGATCTCGATGACCTATGTTACCGTATGCAACCAATTTCCACGATAAGGCTTGAATTCCCGCAAAGTCAAGAAAGAAACACAAGCTAGTACCTAATCGAAAGGGGCCTCTCCCCCCTTTTTGCCCCCGAACATTGGTTGGACGAGCAGCCCAGCCCTCTCTTTGTCCAAGCCCAACTTCAGGCTAACATTACAGCAAAGGTGGGGGAAAGAAAGTATGTACAAAAGACTGGCTGACACAGGCATCGCGTAATAGAAGGAAGTAAGTACTAAGGTAATAAACAGTCAGGGGTAAAGTAAACAAAAGACGATCATCATCCACTTCTCAGCCTGCCGTGAGTGGTTTTGATGGGTGCAACAGACGGGGGTAATACCTAAATGCAAAGAAACTGACTCAAAAAAAAGAATGAAAAAGGAGGATCGAAAAACAGACAAGTGCAACAAGGCATGAGAAGAAAGAAAGAGAAAGAAGAACAACATGGTGAAAAGACTGGTGGCCCATCAATGGGTCCCGACATCTCGAACCCATGCTCTATCAGCCTCAAACTCACTGATACTTGCAGTCTGATTTGCGTAATGTTCACTATAGTGTTCGGGGGATACTCCGGGAGCTTGATAGAGATCCAGACACACATGGACCAGGAACCCGCGGGGAATTGCGTCAGCTTGAGGGGGGTCTAATTAAGGTCAGTTGTTGAATAGTCAAATGAAATGCGGGCGATGACTTGAGGGGCTCACAGTATACTGGTGCTGAGTTAGGCCCTTGCCATAAGTTGTGCGTCCACCACTGTTGTTCAAACACCCAACCAGGATAGC